ATTCTATTCAACTATCAATTATCATCTTATCATGAATTCTTGCATTTTGTTTACTTTAAAAAGTGATAAAACATTTTTTCTTCTTTTTTTTTGTATTCCCAATGAATCAGTTGCATTTTTGAAGTGTGAAAAATTTCCATTCAAAATTCCATCAACAATTTTCAAAAAAAATTGTTCACTTTAATTTTTAATTTATTATAATTTTCATTTCAATATAATACTGATTATGATAAGCTGATAATAATTTTTCTGATAAAAGAAATAACAAAAAAAAAAATTTCAATTTATTTATTATATTCGTGCATCATTTTTATGATAAAATTATTCTCATTATTATTGATTTTGTCACCAATATTTATTGTTTACTTAAAAAAAAAAAATGTTGCATTTCTCATTCAGAAAAATTATTTTTTTGCTGTAAAAAAAATTTTTTAAAAAATTTCTAAACTTATCGAAATTATTGAATTTTTACAAATTTCTAAATTTTGTTAAATTTTTTTTTTTGCCTCAAAAAAATTCTCCCATATGTTTCTAACAAATAATTAATTTTGTATAGTTGAAATTTTCTTACTCTTTTTTTTTGTTGCACTTAAAATAGGAAACTTTCTTTTTATCAATCTATTATCATTCTTTTCTCCCTGTTCTCTCTCTCTCTGTCCCTCTCTCTCTCTCTCTCTCCTTCTTTTACCACTTTTTAAAAAACCATCCATTTCTAAATTTTCTATTTATCATCATTTTTCTTTGCAAATTATTTTATTGCTAGCTGAAAAATGCTTTGTGAAATATGTTAAAATTAGTTTTCATTTTGTAATTTTTAAATTTCTAAAAGATTTTTTTTTTTTAAATAAAATAAAATTATTTAAGATAATTTTGATTCGTTTTCCTTTTTTTTTGTAAATGTTTTAAAATTCAAACAAAAAAAAATTAAACAAAAAGTTTATCGTTTCAACATTTTAGTAAACAAAATCAAATTAAGGAAAAGAACAAACAAATAAGTAAACAAACAAACAAATGATTGTAGCAAAAATTTAAATGTACAATAATAATATTTTTTAATTAGTTTTAATAAAATTTAAATTGAATATTTCTTTTTCCCTTTTTTTTTTGTTTTAAATCATAATTTAATGATGAAAATTTGTATTGTAATTAAAATTAAATAAAACATTGAAATTTTGTTGTAAAAAAAAGAAACATGTATTAATTTTAATTAAATTAATTCCTATAAAAATTTAATAAACTTTACTAAATTTTACTAATTTTTTAGTAAGCTAAATTAATTTGACTAAATTTACTAATTAATTACCTATAAAAATTTTAATTTCATTCATTTAATTTTATTTAACTCTAAATATTTGCTATATATTTTGTCAAATTTTTTCTCTAAATGAAAAAATATTTTGATAATAATTTTTTTTTTTTTAATTTTTGAAATATTTTTTAAATCTTTAGATAATAAATAAATTATTTTGAAAAAGATAATTTTATGCCTGTAAAATTTAAATAAATATGAGAGAGAGAGAGAGAGAAACGTAGTATTATTTTGTTTGTTCTTTTTTTTTTGTTTCAAAAAATTTAATAATTGTGAAAATTATTGCTTTTTTTCAATTTTAAAATTTTTATTTTTCAAAAAAATCACACACTAATATAATTTGTGTATTTGGAAAGTTATTAAATTTGAAAAAGTTTTAAAAATTTCAAGTATATTTTTCATTGAATCACAAAATTTAGTTTAAATTATTTACAAATCATCGAAAAGTTGAAACGTAATGAAAATAATAAATAAATAAAAAATAAAAATTAAATGCAAATATTATTTGATTTCTTCTTTTTTTTTTTTATAATTAAATTTATTTCATTTGTATTATTTATCGTTTTTGTGTTTCAAAAAGTAAATAATACATTTGTTAGTATTGTATATTTACAGATTAATTATTGTGATTTATAAACAATAAACAATAAACAATAAACGAAGAAAACAGCAATTATGGTGGATGTGCAACAGATTATCGAACTTATCTTAGCAATTTTTTTGCCGGTATATGTTGATATTTTAATTTTTTTTATGATCAAATGAAGCATTTGATTCAAATAAATGGAAATGGAATTAAAATCAGAAATGAAATATGAAGAAGAATTCTTTAACAATTAATTGCTAAAAGAAATACCAATTAATTACATTTATTATTGAAAAAAAAAAAATTGCTAACAGAATTTTTCAAAATTATTTAAAAAAAAAAATAAATAAATCAAAAAATCGAAGTCTGATCATATAATTGTCTCTCTTGATCTTATCAAATGATGATAGTTGAAACTGATAGCTGAAAAGAGCTGATATGATCCTTATGGCATTAGTACCAATCACTGATAATGATAATAGTGATAGTATCACTGATGACAAATGATAATGACAATACCACTGATAGCAAATGATAATATTACTGATAACAAATGATAATGCTACTGGTAGGTGATGGTGACAGTAGTATCACTGATAGCAAATGGTAATGATAATATCACTGATAATAGCTGATGATGATTTACTGACAGCAAATGATAATGTCACTGATAGGAGATGATGATGATAGTATCACTGATAACAAATGATAATATCACTGATAAAAGATGATAATGGTGACTTACTGACAGTAAATAATAATGTCACTGATAGGAGATGATGATGGTAGTATCACTGATAATTATAATATCACTGATAACAGATGATAATGATAATTATAATATCACTGATAACAGATGATGATGATTTACTGACAGCAAATGATAATGTCACTGATAGGAGATGATGATGGTAGTATCACTGATAATTATAATATCACTGATAACAGATGATAATGGTGATTTACTGACAGCAAATGATAATGTCACTGATAGGAGATGATGATGGTAGTATCACTGATAACAACTGATAATTATAATATCACTGATAACAGATGATAATGGTGATTTACTGACAGCAAATGATAATGTCACTGATAGTAGATGATGATGGTAGTAACACTGATAACAACTGATAATTATAACATCACTGATAACTGATGATAATTGTGATTTACTGATAAGAAATGATAATGATGACACTACTGATAACAAGTGCTAATACTAATTTTTCAGCCATTGGCAATTTTCATCCATAGCAGCGATTGCAATATCCATGTGGTAGTGAATATCGTTCTGTGTTTCTTCTTTTGGTTGCCGGCAGTGCTGCACGCACTTTGGTACTGCTTCTTCCGAGGCTAGATGTGGTGACAGCGGTGACAATGGTGACAGCGGTGGCAGCGGTGACAGCGGTGTCAGCGGTGACAGTGATAGTAACGAAAGTGTCACCAGTACATGCTAATCTAAACTCTCTTTCAGCTTTTCGACGTATTCTTCTTTTCTTCATATGAATTATTTATCAAATTCTACCTGAACATTCTTCTACATATCAATTCAATGTCAAAAATTTATTAAAATTTCTTCTCTTTCTTTTCCTCTTTCCCTCTCCCTCTCTCTCTCTCCCTCCCTCTCTTTGATTTTCTTTTTTAAAAAATTAAAAAAGAAAAAAAAAAAACTGCCAGCAATATTTTCTATCTCTTTTACACTATAATGTACTTTCATTTTTCAAATCAAAACAAAAAAAAAAAAAAAAAAGTTCGAAAGTAATAAAATTCATTAAAGATTAAAGTAAAAGATTAAAATTAAAAATTGAAATTTTCATAATTAAACGGAACTTTTTTTTTTTTTAAATTTCTATTTCAACTGATTTATTTCTCACTAATGGATCATTTTAATCAATTAATTATTGATTAAATAAAATGTGAAAAAAGGAAAATGTTTGACCTTTGATCTTTGATCTTTAGAATATTCATTAATTAATAAATTGAATTGAATTTGAAATTGTTTATTATATATATTTTTTTTTCAATGATAATTGTTTTGCAATTAACTAACTAACATTTTTTTGATTTGAAAAGCTAAAAAAAAGATTTATCATTTCATAATTTGTTCTAATTTCTTTTTAATTTCTTTCTTCTCAAAAGAAAAAAATATGAAAAAAAAAAACAAACAAACAAACAAATAAATAAATAAACAAAACAAACAAACAAAAATGCAAAAAATATTCATAAATGTATAATTAATTGCAAAAATTTGTATGAAAATGTTGCCTTAATATGCTTTTTTTCTAAAAAAAAATTGTATCGCATATGTGAATAAAATGCATTTGTAAATTTAATAAATATTTATCACAACAAATTATCATTTGCATTTTTTTTTTATTAATTAACTAATTAATTAATCTAATATCTTTGTTAATGTTTGGAAAGACAATAAATAAATATTTATCACAACAAATTATCATTTGCATTCTTTTTTTATTAATTAATTAATTAATCTAATTTCTTTGTTAATGTTTGGAAAGACAATAAATAAATATTTATCACAACAAATTATCATTTGCATATTTTTTTATTAATTAATTAATTAGTCTAATTTTTTTGTTGATGTTTGAAAAAAACAATAAATAAAAAATAAATAAATAAATATTTATCACAACAAATTATCATTTGCATTCTTTTTTTATTAATTAATTAATTAATCTAATTTCTTTGTTAATGTTTGAAAAAACAATAAATCCTATTTTTGTAATTAATTTATTTACAATGTAAAACTTTTTTTTCTTACTTTTCTTTTTTTTTTAAGGTGAAAGTTCCGAAACAAAAAAAAACTTTATTATACAGTTAAAATTTGAAAAAACTTAAAATTTCCCGTTTTTCTTTTTTTTTTTTTTTTTTTCATAAAATAAAAGTAAACAAATTTGAATAAATCACAAACAATTGATGAAAATAAATGAAAAATAAACAATAATAGCAATACTTTCCTTTTTTTTATTGTTTTATTAAAATTTTATAAAAATATATTTATTAAATTTATTAAGATTAAAAAAAGAAAATAAGCGATTCGAAAGAAATTAAAAAAATGAAATTATTGTTTATTGTTTATTTTCATTCATCAAATATCCAATTTTGTTGCGAAAAAAATTTCTGCAAAAAAACATTTTTTTATCATAAATTAAAAATTTCTTAGTGATAATAGAAAAAATAATTGATGTAAAAGAATCTTTTAAAAAATGATTTTGATAAATTTAAAATTATCAATTATTATCAGTGCAATGATTAGAGACTTTTTTTAAACATTATTAGTTTTTTTATCAGATTATCAATTTATCTTTTTAGCATTTTATCAAAATTCAAACCTTTGATATTTGCACTAATCTTTTATCATTTCAAATAATATCTAACTTATCAAAAAAAAAATTTTTTTTTTCATTTTTTTTTTTCTTCATCGATTATTTTTCTGCTTTCTTTTTAAATAAATTCCATTTTAAAAGATTTGAAAACAACTCAATGATTTTAATTTAATTTCAATTATTTTTTAATTTAATTTCAATTTCAATTATATGAAGTACCTGGTAATTTTTTAATTTAATTTAATTTCAATTTTAATTACATGGGATACCTAGTGATTGTGTAGCTTAATTTAATTTAATTTCAATTTCAATTACGTGGGATACTTGGTGATTGTGCAGTTTAATTTAATTATTTTCAATTTCAATTATTTCTAATTTCAATTTAATTTAATTTGAATGGAATACCTGGTGATTGTGCAGTTTAATTTAATTATTTTCAAATTCAATTATTTCTAATTTCAATTTAATTTAATTTGAATGGAATACCTGGTGATCGTGCAGTTTAATTTAATTATTTTCAATTTCAATTATTTCTAATTTCAATTTAATTTAATTTTGAATGGGATACCTGGTGATTGTGCTGAAACTGCTGGTACAACTCATTAAATAATGCAATGTATCGATTAACCGAATAAATTGAATCAAATTGTTTGTCAATTTCAATTATTATAAATTGCATTGCTGCCAATATATTATCCAACATTGCTATGCATTTATTCAGCTAAATAAATTAATTTAAAATGCTAATTTAAAATTAATTTAAAATTTGTCCTTCAAATCACTTAAATTTACGAATTTTAAAAAAAAATAAAAATTTTTACTTTTGTACATTTAGTCTAATAAAAATAATGTTTTGAAAAAAAAATTACTGAAAATTATTTAATATAAAGTTTAAAAAAAAAATTGCTTTGTAGAATATTTAATTTATTAATTAATCAAAATCTATTAACATTTGTTTAAATTCAAAATGGCTAAATTTAAATTTTAACTAAGGGAAATTTTAACCGATTGTTGTTTTATCAAATTTGAATTTTGAATTTTTTGTTTAATATTTGCAAGTTTTTTTCTTGCATATTTAACATTCAATAATTGTTTTTTAATTTTAGCTCTATCATAAATGAGTAAACGTATCGTTGAACAATATTTATTCAATCCCATTTTTCGTTTCTGAAATAAAAGCAAACAAACAAATAAATCAACAAACAAAATATGAAAATTTTTTAAAAATAAATTTTAAAATTTATCAAAATCAAACATATCATTGTTTATTAGTGATATAGGGCAATAAAAAATTAAATAAATTTTTAATTTGTTTACTTGAAATGCATCAATTTTAAGTAAACTATGCTGCATCATATAAATACTTGATAATATATCATTTTCCAATGTTTTTTCTAAAAATTATTTAATCACTCAAAGAAAAAAAAAAAGAAAAGAAAGCGTTAAGCAGTAAACAATAAACAATTTTATAATGTTTTAAATGAAACAAATAATTTTTTTTTAAAATTCACAAATATTTAACTTTTTTGAAATGATTTTTTGAAATTCACAAATATTAATTAAATAATCAATAATCAATGATAATTATACTTTTACTTTACCTCTTAAGGTATTTTCTAAGTTATTACTTTTATTATAAAATGGATAATACTGATTGGATGACAAATAACTGATATTAGAATCAGATTTCAGAGCGGACAATCTCGATTCGATATCATATTTTATATATTTAAAAATTTTTATTAATTTGTTTTCTATATTTATGCATTTTTCTTGTATCTATAAAAAAAAAATATTTAAAAATATAATACATAAATTTATATTCAATTAATTTTATTAGCTAATTTATAATTTTAAAAAAATTTAAATTGGCCTAGCTCAATTTATTATATTACAAAAATTAAATTCGTATTTATTAGATTATCAAATTTAATTTTAACTAATTTATCATCATATTCGATAAAATAATATTAAGCTAATAATAAAACTTTAATAATTATCATGTTATATTATTACTACCTAACTAATTGTCTAATTATTAAATTATCACTTATATAATTAGCAGAAATTTAAGTTTAACTAACATTAGTAATATCAGTTACATTATCACATAAACATTCCCAAGTGTTATCAGTGAAATTTTGAACTTTCTCTTCCCAATTCATTTTGTTTATTTGAAAATGAGCATTTCCAATTAAATCATTCATCACTTTCATTTCCATTTCCTGAGTGAAATATTTTATAATTTTATGAGTGTATTTTGAAAATGAACAAGAAGAAGTAAATTAAAATCAATAAAATAAACTTTGTTATTATTTATCAAAGTTTTTGATTTGTACTTATTTCGAATAGAAATAAATTGTTTAAATTTTTTTTTAATTACTATAAAAAAAAGAAGTAAAATATAATTAATAAGTAGAGAAATAAAAATTGATAAATTTCATCAAACATTTTGTTGTCAAAATTTCAATAAAATTTCAATTTTAATGGAAACCAGATATGAATTCTATCGTTTGCCTAAGGTAACACTGCACAACCGTCTTTTGCTTATCTTTAAATTATCAATGACATATCACTGATAATAAACATTATTATCTAGCAATGTTAATCATTTCTCAATCGTCATTTCTTTCACTGCTAATGCTATTTCTTTTATTATTATTATTATCACTAATTGTTTCAGAAAAAAACGGTTGCCATCTCTGCATATACTAATGAAATTAAAATTGCAAATGAATTATGACTAAATAATATAAGAAGCATGCAGTTAATCAAAGTAGGAAAAATTTATGCATGAACAATAAGCAATCATAAACAATAGGCAGCAATAAACAATAAGCAGCAATAAACAATAAGCAGCAATAAACAATAAACAGCAATAAACAATAAGCAACCATAAACAATAAACAATTATAAACAGTAAGCAGCAATAAACAACAAGCAACTATAAAAAATAAACAGTAAGCAACTATTCCTTCCAAGAAATATTATTTGTCCGGGCAGAGCTACTGAAATCAAAAAATAAGAGTGAACAGCTGAATTCAAAGTGAAATAAAAAACTTTCCTTTATAAATTGTCAACTTGTGAGCACAATGCTACCAGCATGGCAGACATTAGAGTGTAAATAAGTCTTCCAAAGATGCACAAATTCTCAATTACTTTCATTAACAGACATCAATTTAAAAATGCTAAAAATTAAGATTTACTGATTTAAAAAGCTATAAAATCGTCATTCTGTACATATATCTTATCCTAATTTATTTTCAAATTTCGCTTCATGAATTCGGCAAAAATTACTTCCTTAAAATAAAACTATAACAATTCTTCAGGCATCAATCAAAAGTATGAAATTCCACGACCTATAAATGTGGATAGCAGCCAGAAGTTATGGCCAGTGTAAGCGTAGAAGTAAAAGATTAGAATATATACTATAAATGAGTCAGCCAATTTATAGGTAAGTTCAATAAAAAATTAATTGAAAATTCCATGGCGAAGCGCTTATAGTCTTTTTTGTATTTCTTAGAAGCATGAATGCGCCCATTGTTTTAGCCTTTTAAATTGCTTGTAGCAAATATGGCACAGAAAATAGAAAATTATTGCTCGCGAAGAAGTTTCTTAGTTGATTTCATTGATTAAAGTGAAAGTAAACTTTGATCGTAACACTGCATTTGATCGCAACGCTGTAAGTGATCGTAATATTCCATTTCGTCGCAACGCTGTATTTGATCGCAATATTCCATTTGGTCGTAATATACCATTTGGTCGTAATACTGCATTTGATCGTAATATTTCATTTCGTCGTAATACTGCATCTGATCGCAACGCTGTAAGTGATCGTAATATTCCATTTCGTCGCAACGCTGCATTTGATCGTAATATTCCATTTGGTCGTAATATACCATTTGGTCGTAATACTGCATTTGATCGTAATATTTCATTTCGTCGTAATACTGCATCTGATCGCAACGCTGTAAGTGATCGTAATATTCCATTTCGTCGCAACGCTGTATTTCATCGTAATATTCCATTTGGTCGTAATACTGCATTTGATCGTAATATTTCATTTCGTCGTAATACTGCATCTGATCGCAACGCTGTAATTGATCGTAACATTCCATTTCGTCGTAATACTGCATTTGATCGCAACGCTGTAATTGATCGTAATATTCCATTTGGTCGTAATACTGCATTTGATCGCAACGCTCCATTTGATCGTAATATTCCATTTCGTCGTAATACTGCATTTGACCGCAACGCTGTACTTGGTCGTAATTATCCATTTCGTCGTCATACTGCATTTGACCGCAACGCTGTACTTGGTCGTAATATTGCATTTTATCACAAAGCTGCATTTGATCGTAATATCGCAATTGATCGTAATATTGCATTTGGTCGTAATACTGCATTTGATCGCAACGCTCCATTTGATCGTAATATCGCAATTGATCGTAATATCGCGTTTGATCGTAACGCTGCATTTGGTCGTAATACTTCATTTGACCGTAATATTTCATTTCGTCGTAATACTGCATTTGATCGCAACGCTGTAATTGATCGTAATATTCCACTTCGTCGTAATACTGCATTTGATCGTAATATCGCAATTGATCGTAATATTCCATTTGGTCGTAATACTGCATTTGATCGCAACGCTGTAATTGATCGTAATATTCCATTTCGTCGTAATACCGCATTTGATCGCAACGCTGTAATTGATCGTAATATTCCACTTCGTCGTAATACTGCATTTGATCGCAACGCTGTAATTGATCGTAATATTCCATTTCCTCGTAATACCGCATTTGATCGCAACGCTGTAATTGATCGTAATATTCCACTTCGTCGTAATACTGCATTTGATCGCAACGCTGTAATTGATCGTAATATTCCATTTCGTCGTAATACCGCATTTGATCGCAACGCTGTAATTGATCGTAATATTCCATTTCGTCGTAATACCGCATTTGATCGCAACGCTGTAATTGATCGTAATATTCCACTTCGTCGTAATACTGCATTTGATCGCAACGCTGTAATTGATCGTAATATTCCATTTCGTCGTAATACCGCATTTGATCGCAACGCTGTAATTGATCGTAATATTCCATTTGGTCGTAATATTGCATTTGGTAGCAACGCTGCATTTGGTCGTAATACTGCATTTGATCGCAACGCTGCATTTGGTCGTAATATTGCATTTGATCGTAATATCGCAATTGATCGTAATATTGCATTTGGTAGCAACGCTGCATTTGGTCGTAATACTGCATTTGATCGTAATATCGCAATTGATCGTAATATTGCATTTGGTAGCAACGCTGCATTTGGTCGTAATACTGCATTTGATCGTAATATCGCGTTTGATCGTAACGCTGCATTTGGTCGTAATATTCCATTTCGTCGTAATACCGCATTTGATCGCAACGCTGTACTTGGTCGTAACATTCCATTTCATCGTAATACCGCATTTGATCGCAACGCTGCATTTGGTCGTAATACTGCATTTGATCGCAACGCTGCATTTGGTCGTAATATTGCATTTGATCGTAATATCGCAATTGATCATAATATTGCATTTGGTAGCAACGCTGCATTTGGTCGTAATACTGCATTTGATCGTAATATCGCGTTTGATCGTAACGCTGCATTTGGTCGTAATATTCCATTTCGTCGTAATACCGCATTTGATCGCAACGCTGTACTTGGTCGTAACATTCCATTTCGTCGTAATACCGCATTTGATCGCAACGCTGCATTTGGTCGTAATATTGCATTTGATCGTAATATCGCAATTGATCGTAATATTGCATTTGGTAGCAACGCTGCATTTGGTCGTAATATTGCATTTGATCGTAATATCGCAATTGATCGTAATATTGCATTTGGTAGCAACGCTGCATTTGGTCGTAATACTGCATTTGATCGTAATATCGCAATTGATCGTAATATTGCATTTGGTAGCAACGCTGCATTTGGTCGTAATACTGCATTTGATCGTAATATCGCAATTGATCGTAATATTGCATTTGGTAGCAACGCTGCATTTGGTCGTAATACTGCATTTGATCGTAATATCGCGTTTGATCGTAACGCTGCATTTGGTCGTAATATTCCATTTCGTCGTAATACCGCATTTGATCGCAACGCTGTACTTGGTCGTAACATTCCATTTCGTCGTAATACCGCATTTGATCGCAACGCTGCATTTGGTCGTAATATTGCATTTGATCGTAATATCGCAATTGATCGTAATATTGCATTTGGTAGCAACGCTGCATTTGGTCGTAATATTGCATTTGATCGTAATATCGCAATTGATCGTAATATTGCATTTGGTAGCAACGCTGCATTTGGTAGCAACGCTGCATTTGGTCGTAATACTGCATTTGATCGTAATATCGCGTTTGATCGTAACGCTGCATTTGGTCGTAATATTCCATTTCGTCGTAATACCGCATTTGATCGCAACGTTGTACTTGGTCGTAATATTCCATTTCCTCGTAATACCGCATTTGATCGCAACGCTGTAATTGATCGTAATATTCCACTTCGTCGTAATACTGCATTTGATCGCAACGCTGTAATTGATCGTAATATTCCATTTCGTCGTAATACCGCATTTGATCGCAACGCTGTAATTGATCGTAATATTCCATTTCGTCGTAATACCGCATTTGATCGCAACGCTGTAATTGATCGTAATATTCCACTTCGTCGTAATACTGCATTTGATCGCAACGCTGTAATTGATCGTAATATTCCATTTCGTCGTAATACCGCATTTGATCGCAACGCTGTAATTGATCGTAATATTCCATTTGGTCGTAATATTGCATTTGGTAGCAACGCTGCATTTGGTCGTAATACTGCATTTGATCGCAACGCTGCATTTGGTCGTAATATTGCATTTGATCGTAATATCGCAATTGATCGTAATATTGCATTTGGTAGCAACGCTGCATTTGGTCGTAATACTGCATTTGATCGTAATATCGCAATTGATCGTAATATTGCATTTGGTAGCAACGCTGCATTTGGTCGTAATACTGCATTTGATCGTAATATCGCGTTTGATCGTAACGCTGCATTTGGTCGTAATATTCCATTTCGTCGTAATACCGCATTTGATCGCAACGCTGTACTTGGTCGTAACATTCCATTTCATCGTAATACCGCATTTGATCGCAACGCTGCATTTGGTCGTAATACTGCATTTGATCGCAACGCTGCATTTGGTCGTAATATTGCATTTGATCGTAATATCGCAATTGATCATAATATTGCATTTGGTAGCAACGCTGCATTTGGTCGTAATACTGCATTTGATCGTAATATCGCGTTTGATCGTAACGCTGCATTTGGTCGTAATATTCCATTTCGTCGTAATACCGCATTTGATCGCAACGCTGTACTTGGTCGTAACATTCCATTTCGTCGTAATACCGCATTTGATCGCAACGCTGCATTTGGTCGTAATATTGCATTTGATCGTAATATCGCAATTGATCGTAATATTGCATTTGGTAGCAACGCTGCATTTGGTCGTAATATTGCATTTGATCGTAATATCGCAATTGATCGTAATATTGCATTTGGTAGCAACGCTGCATTTGGTCGTAATACTGCATTTGATCGTAATATCGCAATTGATCGTAATATTGCATTTGGTAGCAACGCTGCATTTGGTCGTAATACTGCATTTGATCGTAATATCGCAATTGATCGTAATATTGCATTTGGTAGCAACGCTGCATTTGGTCGTAATACTGCATTTGATCGTAATATCGCGTTTGATCGTAACGCTGCATTTGGTCGTAATATTCCATTTCGTCGTAATACCGCATTTGATCGCAACGCTGTACTTGGTCGTAACATTCCATTTCGTCGTAATACCGCATTTGATCGCAACGCTGCATTTGGTCGTAATATTGCATTTGATCGTAATATCGCAATTGATCGTAATATTGCATTTGGTAGCAACGCTGCATTTGGTCGTAATATTGCATTTGATCGTAATATCGCAATTGATCGTAATATTGCATTTGGTAGCAACGCTGCATTTGGTAGCAACGCTGCATTTGGTCGTAATACTGCATTTGATCGTAATATCGCGTTTGATCGTAACGCTGCATTTGGTCGTAATATTCCATTTCGTCGTAATACCG